CCTATCGATCAAATGGGCATATGATGGAAATGCCTTCGCCACATGTAAATATTTATTATATATTTTTAATAATTAGCCGGCGAAGATGGCTTAGTTAAAGTTTGGTCAAGAAACGGTATGCTTAGATCGACTTTGGCACAAAGTTGTATGTCATTATCTATTTAATTCAGACTCAAGCTACATCAGTATATTCCCTCGCATGGAATGCTAACTCATCTCAAATTGTTTATGCTTCTGGACAATATTTAATCATTCAATCTCTTCAAGCTAGCATTAAAGCACTTTCGGTATTTATATATAGTTTTACTTGGCTATAACTTGTCCGTAATAAACTTTTTTTCTTAATTTAGTGGAAGGCACACGAGGGGGTCATCCTGAAGCTAGATTGGAATCCAATTAACGAGCTAATACTTTCTGGTGCAGAAGATGGCAAATATAAGGTAATCAAAATATTACTTCGAACTATAGATATGGGATGGCTTTGGCAGGCAACTATACTCAAGTTCGCCCTGTAACTTTCCAATAACTAGTGTTGCTTGGTCTCCGGATGGACTGCTTTTTGCAATAGGAAGTTACAATATGCTCCGATTGTGTGATCAACAAGGGGTACGTACTTTATTTTAATGTATTATTAACTTATAAAATCATTTGACCGAAGTGAAATAAGACAACTTTATTTTAGTGGACATATTCGATAGACAGACCGTCCTCAGGAAGTATTCTAAATCTAGCATGGTCATGCGATGGGACTCAAATCGTTGGTGCGGGGGCAGCGGGTCATGTGGTTCTTGCTCAAGTTATAGATAGATGCATGGAATATGATGTATTTCAAGTTACACTTCGGGATGAACACTCTTTGAGTGTGTACAATGCTCAGAATGGGGCAATCGAAAATTTAGAACTGCGTGACAGAGTTATCAAGATTTCATTCTGCTTTGATTACTTAATTGTTCTAACAGCTACACAATGCCACATATACAAGTAAGAAATTGTTAACGATATTGCCAAGCATATACATTGAGAATATTATACTTAAAGCTAATTTGGGAATCAACTATTTATAAAATGTGTTTAATTTAAATTATTGAATTTAAAAAGTTACTCGTTCCAGCCCTGAATTAAAATATTTGAGAAGTGATTTCGTCAACGATCAAAACCCTTTCTTCATCTATCTCGGATATAGTACTTTTACAACAGTCACTACTTAGGCTTTATATATTTTTAATTATTATGCCTTAGATTAATTATAAAGAAAAATCAAATGTGATAAATACTTAAAATGGGCTTTTTCTAGATTTTCATT